AATCACTGATGGATAAGCAAACTCTGATGCATCGCAAAATGTATGTAACTGTATGTAATTGTCTGTATATGAATGCATCTAGGAAATTCAGTATACTGAAACTGAATACATTTACCAATCACTAGTGTAAATCCAAAGACGTCGATACATGAGATCTTCACCGCCATTACTCCTGGAGGGTTAAAAATCTTCACTGAGAGTGATAGCATTTTTTCTTGGTTAGATTTTCTTCAACATCCAAGGCATGTCTTTAATGCCAGTGTATAATAATATTGAATCACAATATAACCCCAACACTTTGTGGGGTTCCAACTTTCTATCTGACAGTGTAGGAACCTCGTTAAGGAATAAGCGAATAATCGCTTTAGTTAACAAACGTAAAATTCAAGAAGGGTTAATTACCTTTTATTTCTCAAAATAAGAATTTAAAAGTAGTAGGCTCCTTTCTCGGAGCTTACAGCAAAGCCTCCAGTTGGGCTTGAACTCAAAGTAACAAGAAAATCAGTTGGCTCCTTTCTCAAAGCTTACAGCAAAGCCTCCATTTGGATTGATGTTGTATGCTGGTAGCACTGAATTTCTTTAAAATGGTGTTTCAAATTATTATAATGAGTATAGTTCCATATCTACACATTGTTTAAATTAAAGATGTGTCCTCCACTACAGTTACTTTTTTTCCCTGAAAGTTTCGTTGTTTTTTTCCAGATTGGACTTTATCCAAAATTAAAATACAAGTACCAGAAGGAATTAAATGAAGCTAAATTAAAAGAATGTTTAAATTTGAGAACATATAGTTTTTTCCAAAATGTTACAATTTTAAAATTCTGATTAATCTTCATAATATGGTGATTTTTTAAATTGTAATAAAACTAAAATGCCATCTGATCCTGAACGTTATTAGCAAAGCGCTGGTAGAAAGCGTGACTTTTTGAACCTCATGGACTGGATATAACATGAAATGTGCATCTAGGTTTTCCAGGAAATTACTTACGGTTGTCCTGCCGTCGAAACTTGCCGCTGGTTTCATGGATGCCTGCATAGTTTGTACAATGTAGCCAAAACCTTCTAGGGGAGGAGGTGGTAATTCCGGGTTCTGTATAGGTACTGCTGGGTACCTCAGGTTCATCTTCTTGCCTTTCAGGCCATCCTCTTATTTTCCCTCGGGCGCCAGTATCAGGATTTAATATTCTGTGCATACTTTTGGCAAACATAATGGTGCTAGTATCAATATCCTGACCTCGAACAGTGAGCTGAATGCAGCTATGTTCTTAAGAGTGCTAGAAGAATTACAACGTACGAAGGGTGTAAAAGACCCTTTTATTGAAATCACTATTTACAGCAACTCCCAACTCGGGAGTGATAACAGAACAAATAATAATCGCGCTTGGGTCTTGAACAATCAAGCAAGTTAAAAATAAAACTTCAGGAGACATTTAAATAGTTGCAGTCACAGAGCTTAAACGCGAGATTGGCCTATTTATGGTGCGTAGCAAGCCTTTGCTAAGTACTAACACACTTAAATCACTTCCATCAGTATTTGAGAAATAGCACTAAGGCGTAAGAATTTAAATACTAACTATTCTGGCGAACATCCACCGAGCCGACGTGGTCTGAGACTGAAAGCTCTCTCACACTTGAGAAGTTTCTCACTAACCTTAAATACAAAACTTGGCTCCAACACAAATTAGCATAAAGCTGAGCCGTGCGCTCATTCTGAAGGGAAGTTGAAATAAGAGTTTACAGGAAAGGGTAACTTAAAATAAAAAGGTTAGTTTAACTTAAAACCTTACACAGTCATTGATGACTTTGTGTGTATAATACTGCAAATTTAGTTAGAAAGTGAGGACGTCATTTGAAGCTTGACGGCTCATCCAAAGTCATCAATAAAAGATCATATTTCAAACAGAACAGCTTTTATTAGACGAAGAGATTTTGATTGATTCATTGATTTATTGCAGCTTCTGGCACAAAACCTTATGAGGTTATCTGTGCCCAAAAATGGTAAAAGCAGGGATTACAAAATATGTTAAAAGTTTCATATGTATAATTACTATACCTTTTAGGTCTGGTAAAAACACAGTTAGTATACATTTTAGGTGTCGTATATAAAGGTGTCTATTTTAGGTGTCATATATAATAAAAGTCAGTGTCCTTTAAAAACTGGAAACACTTGCGTGATGATGGTTTTCCCCCTATTAAGTTTGTTTAAATCTGATTTTAAACATTTAAAACGTTTTTGGCAAAGATAACTAAAACTCCAACATTATAACAAAATATGGCCTACTGTCAGATTTTCATTACAATTTGTGCAATGGGATTCTTACCTTTCAGCAGATATTCCCGAGTCAGTCGACAATGACCTATTCTCAACTGGGTTAAGATAACTTGTTCTCCTCTATTTGCCATATACAGCCAGCATTCAATTGTGGATTTAACACTTCTCAGCTCGTTCATCGTTTGGTCACCCAATGCCTCTCTGCCATTTATTAAAAAAGATTCATCATCGTACTAATATCTATGAGTGGAATCTGGGAATTGAATATTGTAGTTAGCAGTTTTAGCTGTAATGTCAGCAAGTTCATTCGCTTTTATGCCACCCGGGCCAGGGATCCAGGAATAAAGAATCTGATATCCCCGATATTTTAGTCTGATTAAGCTTCAGGATTCTGGTAATATTGTGATGTGAATTTATACTTAAGCTCTTTGAATGATGTTAGGACACTCAAGGAATCTGTATAGATAACGAAAGTCCTGCAACATTCTTTTGACATAAATGTTAGAGCATGATAAACTGCAGGGAGTTCAGAGGTAAAAACGCAGCAAGCCGTGTGTAATCTCGATATCCCCAATTTTGTTTTTCCTGCTACAAAGGCTACACCAACGTGATCTCGACATTTTTATCCATCTGTACAGAGGGATATCATTTCTGTATTTGTGTCCCTGTTTCACAATGATCTGGCTGTAAATAACATCATTTTATTCAGTGTGTTCTTTTTAGAAGTATACAGTGTGAACTCTGTATAGAAGACGAAGTAGCGAATACTCGATATGTCTTTGAAGAATAAATACTGCAGAAGAAGGTTTTAAATAACCTTTTATATTTCAACTAAATTAAACAGATGCATGTACTTGGTGCTCACAATTCACCACCACTTGTGGCTAACGAAATTAACAGAAAATAAAAATGTGAAATGCACATTAAATTAAGATGGCTATCGATTGGCTCCTTAGCTTAAAACTAAACGCTAAATTGGCTGCACATGACAAAGCCAGGCCTAGGAATATCAGTATGAACTGAAAGGTGTCTAACGCTGACTAGAGAGCTAATTGCGAATTCGGAATTATCTCTGCTACTACTCCTTTTCGAACTTTTGAAACGCAGCTCAAATACTGCTTCTGAAACACACTTAGATTAGCACATGATGTCTTTAAAAATTTACATTCCATCAGGAAACTGAAATCAGGAGGGAAAGGAAAGCAAAACTAAAAACAATTGCTTAGAAATAAGGTCGTTACAACTTGTGCTAGATTTATCCCAGTGTTGGAAGGTATCTAGAGAATGAATTTTCCAGTCCTCCTATGGTGGCATCTCAAAAGGATTCTCCAGCTGTGTGTATTTATGTTGTCATGTGTTACTGTTCTAGTTTACTTTGGTGTTCTTAAACCAACAATGGGATAACTGTTGGGCATGCCAATTATAAACGGGAGCATGAATCATTGAGTAAGTGTAGACGGATGGGATTCTGGATCTGTGTTTAAAATAGGACTTAAGACAAAGGTGCTTGCTTCCTTAAACTCAGAGAAGTCTGATTGCTTTTCACTGAAGAAGTTCTAAACTCATAAGCATAGATCCCAATTGCTTGGTGGTGTACTGGATCAAGTTTGTCGAGCACGAAAGACCTTACTGACCATAAATGGCTGATCCATAGTCGAGTATTGAACGGATAAGGGACCTATATATAAGAAGCAATTATTAAAAATTTTTTCTTTGTCATTTGTTTTTGATTCAGGTTTTTTTTTTTTTTTTTTTTTTTTTTGTTTGTGTTCTGTAAACTGTGAAAAGTTTGGGTGCATATTGATTGATAAGATTTGGTGGCTTCAACATAAGAGACAAGTCTTTCTTGGTTGACCTGTGTTGTACAGTTTTCTAGCCTCAGGATAAGGAGGTTTTATTTAATAATTTTTAATATGCTGTATTTCTTTCTTTCCATTTAGGCCATTTCGTGAGTATGACGGACGGTCGGCAAGACGGTTTTACGCATTTTGGATCGGCTATTTAGTCCTAACTTTCACGCGACCAATTACAGAGCAGCGAGCGCACGCCAAGTTTCCACCACATGCGCTTTTGGATGACCAATCCAATGGCACTTTGAAAAGCAGCATAGTGGGTTCAGAATGTAAGGTCTGATGGGACAATTGAAGTATCCTGCCTTATGGCTTTCGGTAGATCTGGAGATGAGCATGTCAGGATATTTTGTGTTAATGTTTTCCCTATGGATTATAATTCGACTAACTTCAGATACATTTTGCTCAGCTAGTTTTTCTAACAGGTCTTCCTTCCTCAGATACTGATATCTCATCTATTTCTGAAACAAACACTCAGGCTGAGTTCAAAGACTTATGTGGGGACACATTAATAGAAGACTTATGTTCAAACACTTATGTGGGGTCGCCCATGTTTCTGATTTTGGGGAGAGAGAAGGATTGTGCATCAGATATCATTTAAATAAGCAAATATCTTGAACTGAGCTTTTTTATGTATTTTGTCCCTCCAGCTGCAGCCAAAATATACTCGTGGACGTGATAGATTTCCTTTGACCAAAATGAAGAAAGTGCTATAACTTCTCTAAATCGACATTTCTCTGATCCATTTGAAACAAAAACCTTGGGTGTGTCATGGAAACCAATAAAGGATCGCATTTCCTTCAAAGTAGAGCGTAGTGATTATCATATACATAAGTGATGTGTCTTATCTTCAGTTGCTAGATTATTTATTTGGCCCAATTATAGCCAAAGCAAAGATTTTTATGCAGAAACTGTGCCGTCTTAAAATTGATTCGAATGATGGACTTCCTTCTGCAGAAAATTAGGAATGGCATCAATTTCTTTGACACTAGAGAGCATAAACAACATCAATATTGACAGACGTGTAGTGATTGATCAAGCTAAAAATGTTGAAATCCATTGTTTTTTCGATGCTTATGAACGTTGTTTCGAAGTAGCAGTTTATTGCAAGTCTGTAGATTTTTCTGGGAGAACATTGGTAAGGTTAATCTTGAGCAAATCAAGAGCTACTCCTTTTAAGAGCCTATTGATTCTCGAGGCTTGAGCTATGTGCCACTGTCCTATCGTCCAGGTTGGTGAAAAACGGCCTTATCACCTTGAAATTAGCAGTGACTCAAGTCTACTTATGGACAGACTCAATGATAGCCCTCGAATGGATATAAAAGGAACATATGGATGATAAGATGTTTGTTCAGCATAGTGTGGCCACAATTCAAGAACTTTTCATCTGTTCAACCGTGGCATCGGATCAGAATCCAGCGGATCTCCTGTCACGGAGTGTGGATTCTGATAAGCTAAGTGCATCACAAATTGTGTTGTCCAGCGTTGCTGGTGGGCAGTGACTATCCAACTCATGCAGTATCTATCTGAGATAAAAGTGAATCATTTTTTACATAATTTACTGAAATTGAGTGATAAATATATAACTATTTTATGTGTTAGTAGTTATATTTTTCAGGTTTATTTGAAAATGCCCCTAGCAAGATTGTCACGACCAGCTAAGTGTTCAGCATAGCCAAATATTCCTGATACAACAAACAGAAAATGATTGCTTTGGAGAGGACATCCACCAATTAATACGGCACGAGAACTGTCTTATCTAAAAGTAAGTTAAAAAATGTGTGAATCCCTACCTGGATTCTGATTTTAGTTCTCAGAGGCTGTTTAGCTAAGACAAATCTTACTTATTTTGCTAAACATCTGACAATATTATCTAAAATTCACAAATTTGTGTTATTAATAGCTATTGAACATTATCAAAAAAATTTTTTGCATGTTGATGCAGTCGCATTATAAATTCACGTGCGCGGAAAGTTCTGACCATTAAGTGGTCGATCTGTTTGACATGAAGTTGTACTTCATTGTATTGTATGACTTAAAAACAAACAATTTGTGTGTCGACAAATAATGGGAAATCTCCCATCAGATGGAGATGTAGCAGATTCTTTTTAATTTAGTGGAATGGACTGCACAGCATTATATTGCGACAGTGCCACAAATCTTGTTGGTGCCAACAAAGAAGTAAAAGGACTTCATAACATAATTAAAATCCCCAAATTAAACTCTAGCCAATTATTTATCTCCCGAGAATATTGAATGGAAATTCATTTCACCTAGGGCACACAATTTTGGAGGCCTCTGGGAAGTTGCAAGTATCATTTTAAAATAGTTGTAGACAGTGAAACATGTGTCTTAACAGTGTGATTGAGCGACCTCTGTGTCTGTTAACAGGTAACGAACATGATTGCAGAATAAATAAGGAGAGGAATAAATGAATAATTTTGAAATATATTTAATGGGCTGTATGCGGGAAAAAAATATAAAGGTAATATGAAAACGTTGGGCCAACATGGAGTTTTTAACAAATAAAATAAATAAATAAATAAAAGAACATACTTTATGAATTTTAAGTTGGAAATTCTCAGTGCCACTATTAAAAATGTTCACGCATAGACCCACCAAAGTGCATTAAAACATTTGAGAATTTTTAAACGTATACAGTAACAGAAAAACCCAAAAACTTTATTTTAAATTAGAAAATTCTGCAATAATTTGGATTAATATATACTGATGAAACATTCAAAATGGAGTACATATGCTGTTGTTTCACAAGCATCCTGGAAACCTTTTTTCTATTCTCACTGATAAGTAGCTTGATATGGAATACAAATAATGTCCATTAATGAAAATTCCTAAAACATTTTCAGTATACCAACACTGCAATCTATTTCTTATATCGAAATAAAACTACATTTTGACATTAATGTGAAGTATGACACTGAACTCTCAGTTATGTGTCCATTGTAAATCGTTTTCATAAAAGAATATGTAAAAAACTCACAGCTTAGTCTTGAAATCAAGTTAGAAAATTAACGCTAGTTGATACTTGTAACAGTGTTTGCAGAAATTTTTCAGCTAAAGTAGCAAGACAAGAATAGTAAAGTCGACAAGTATAGAATAGTAAATGTAGCACATGATATCATAGTTACATAAGTTGATATGACCTCTGATGTCATTGCAAATTCAGTCTTCATTGATTTTTTTAAAGTTATTTTTTAAGTTACGGACTGTAATTTCATTTAGTTGTTTTAATTATGTATCTCTTATGACAAAAATTTTATGACTATAGTGCTGATTATCCATTGTTTAAACCAGGAGTTCCCAAACCGTATGCCTGCAGGCTATTTAACGGATGGGCGCTGTGCGATCACAATAAAAATGTTTCAGTTTCTATAAAAATTCCACATGAACGTTTTTTCATATTTCATGAAATAGAAATTACATCCAACATAGATACCAGGACAAAGCTAAATGCGATCGATCTCTTTTTTTTTTGGGGGGGGGGCGCATGTATTATTAACCTATGTGCATGTATCAAATTGTGCTCAACACGAAGCAAAATGTGAGCAATCTCTCTCTCTGTTTTTTTTAATGTGCAACTCTATCCAACTATGAAATCACCTTAAAAAAAGTAAATGGTGCCTGCCATCCAACAGATATTGTAGAATGTGCTCTTAGCGACGAAAAGGGTGGGATCCCCCTGGTTTAAACATTCGTCTTTTAATTAATTCTCAGTTAATTTAGATTTTTTAAAAATTAATTTGTTCATATCTATTGTTAAGTGCATCCTCAATTTTTGATTTTTTTTTGAGGTGGCAGTTTCTTTTTGTAATTATTATTATTTTTGCTTTATTTTAATTGCTAATGTATTTCAGTGAATTATCCATTCTGTTTGATTCACTTATCAGAAATTTATCATGGCAAGGAGAAGATTTTGCCTGTCACTGGCAAGTACCAAAGCATAAAGCTGGAGTTTCTAATACATTAAAAATAAATCGAGTATATGTAACCCACCCAGCATTACATTTTATTACATTTGACAAGTTTACACTTTAAGGACCGCTAGCAGTTCAACAGCATACGCACGTCCGACCGGCCGCTCAGCCGCAGATTCTTCATGTTCAAAATAACTGTCTAGACAATCTAATAAATTGTCTAAATAAAACTCTCCAGTACCATTTTTTTCGCTCAACGTGAACAGCAATTTTTTTAAAAACGGTGTTAAAATGTGGCAGTTTACGAAGCAATGCACTTTACGCAACTGAGCAATGTACCTCAATACCAATAATAAAATGCAGATGATATAGCAAATGGCATCTGTTTATCACAATGGCTACCGAGATTGATAGGCTATTTTTAGGTAGTCTCGAGAAAAAAGCGATTAATAGGCTATCGGTCGATAGGTGTTGGCGAAAAAAAGCTGATTAATAGGCTGTCGATCGGCAGGCCTTGCCTAAAAAAGCCGATTAATAGGCGATTGATCGGTAGGTGTTGGGGATGAAAAGCCGATTAATAGGCTACCGGTTGGTAATGTGTTAATGAGTAAGTTATTATAAATATTACAACAAACATGTTAATGTAATTATACGTTTGCAATATATTTTTGAATCTCTCATGTTATTCAGTAAGTATGGTACTATCAAAATTGTATGAATATAAAAATATTACTCATGTGCACAGCTTTTAAAAGTTGCAGGGTCAACGGATTGTTTGAAGGACAGAAACCATAAATCAATCTCGGCTCCCTGATGAAGCTAAAAATTTCCGAGAGAAAGCACAGGCAAAGAAATGGAGATGCAGAGGAAAGAACTGGCTAGTTCACTTGCCAAGTGGACTAGCACAAACAGTGATCATTCGGGAGACTCCACTGTTTTGATATATCTCCCCTCCCCTTCTTTCAAGTAAGCATAAGCATGTGGCAAGTGTAGTTTCACTTCATTGCACCTATCGTACATTCCTTCCTTAAAGCTTAAAAATAATTTTGTCATAATTTTTTTTAAATGGTAATAATTTATCTCCAGTTTAAGTTTAGTTTCGGCAAAGTATGTGAATCTGATGTAAAAATTTTTATAGAAAAAACTGGTTATAAAATTATAATATTTTATGACAATAATTGTAGGGGAGGATGAAAATCATTTTTTTTTGACTTCATAGGTAACAATATGATGTGAATATGATTCATTTTGAATAAGAAATTCCTCCACATCCCTTCCCTTGGGCAGGTGGCTCTAGCGTGATTTGCCACATATAAATAAACTTTCCCATTTACAGTAATATTTTGTCAGCCAGCATCCTCTGCTTTTTAAATCGTAAATTTCAGGGGTTCCCAAATTGTGCTCCGTGGTGCCCATAGACGTATCATAGAGTCGTATTTAATGAAGTGTTGTGATTTGCTATGAATAAGCAGGTTGTAAAGCACAAATCTTGTACAACACTTCGTCGAACACGACTAGGGCGGTGTGACAAAACAACTAAACCTATAAGTGCGCTAGCGGTTGAAAAAATAAGGGAACCCCTGGTTTATTTGCATGTTAGTCCAATACTTCAGATTATTATTTAATTTTTAAGTGCAGCTGGAACGAAAGTTTTCAAATTTGAATGTCTGAAAACTTAACCGTTTGAGTCCGGCGAAGCGCTATTGCACTTCACTTGTCATATGCCAAAAATACGGCGCAGCGCGATAGTTTATTTTCAACAAGTCGTTTCTACATTTTTATATGCATATTGTTTTTGTTCATATTTTTGAGGATGAATGCTAGGGCATAATAAAGGTTTAAAAGAGCGTTTCTTAACTAATGGAAAAGTACTTTTTGAATTAAATTTGGAATGAAAAGGAATAATTTTGTTGAATATTGTGCAGGAGCTATATAAAACTCTTAACTGATATTTAATTTTTATATAAAGAGAATAATTTTATAAAATTTGTAAACCATTCATTTTAATTAGTTGTAAAATTTCTTCATTTAATGCTTAAGAAAATGTTGATTTTTTGTTTTGGGGAAAAAAAAAATTATTGCAGTATTCTAATTCCTGCACTGATAACAATGCTTGATGTTTTATCTTTTGACACATGTGAAATGTGAGAAACTGGTGGCATTGTGAATATTAAAAAATTTCTGTTCTACTCTGCTAGTATTTAAAAGATTATCTAGGAACAAAGTTGTTAAACTAGGATAAATGAAATATAGAACTAACTATAAAATCATTAAATGAAATCATTAAACACTAATCTATCCATGGTCAGAGGTTTTGTTATTATTAACCTAGGTTTACACATAATATGTGAGCAATGAATGATAAACGATAATGATACACATATTAATGCATATATATGAACTAAAATCATTAAATGAAATAAAAATAAACATCATGATTAGATATTTTGGATATCCATGGATATCTATCCATTGTTAGATATTTTGTAATTATATTAACTTAGGTTTACACATAACTTCGGGTAACAACATTTGTTTTTTTATTTTTGTTTAAAAGTTCAGCAAATTGGGCTAATTGAAAGTTCTTCTGATTTGTATTTGAGAACAAAATTACTTTGCAAGGCATTTTTATGGGAATTCTAAAGAAATGTAAGGCGGTATTAAAAATAACTGGGAAAGAGAAAACTCTTGGATTTTTCGATATCCGCTTAAACCTAGTAACCGCAAGTAAATTTACTATTGTATACAAAAACAAATGCAACCAAAAAAGTAATTAACCAAATAAAAATAAATTTTATTCAATTCGTTTATTTTATTATATCTGGTTAAAAATGCAATTTATTCAAATAAATTAAAGCATTAAGCAGCTATTAAAGTGACATAGAAATTTACGCGATGTTTCCAAAAATATCCAGAGCTATAAATTTGCTGTGTTTGGAAATGACTAATTTGAAGCCAGGAAGTTTCCACTCTAAACAATTTCTATATAACTTCCAAGACTACCTTTCGTAAGTACTTTATATACAAAATATTCAAAAAAATTTCGTCATTAACATTAAATTATTTAAAGAACATACATTTCTGATCTCGGATTTCAAATTTAAAATTTCACAATATCGTATGAGGGTGGACACAGTGCTTGGTCTTACCTGATCTAGCCAGATATGGCTGTTTTGATATCTTGAAATAGCCAGGACTCCGGCCTAGCGGCAGGCAGCAGAACTGTTCCAATCAACAAGTATTTCGCATCTTTTTAACTGTTTCCCAAATGAAAAGAAAAAAAAAATCTGAAAGGGCTTAGATTTTAACGGTCGCCTAGTGGGTATGGTAAGTTTTTTTACGCTGTTGCTGACCTTGAATTCTACCAGGTCTACTCATTCCTGCTAATACATTTCTTTTTGTCTTTTTATCTTTATTATTAAGCCTCATTTTCTTCATACTTATGCCATATACAGTTCAACAGCAAAATTAGTTTTGTTGTTTCACAGCAACTAGAAAAAAGTAAAATAATAATAGTAATATTTTTGTCTTATTAATCGGCAATAGATGGCAGCACTGGATAAAACCTATAGTTCTTAACTGATTTATTCGAGTAATCTTTGAAAGTAGAAAATATGTCAAAAATATTTTTTTGTTCAGCAAATCATTCTGTTAATATGTGCCAGCAATTATCTGTCTCAAATTATATAATCTTCTGTGCTGGGAATAAGAATATTTTGTTCTTTATACTGCATCATTTTATAGCAACAACAAAAAAAATTTTTCTTTCAGTTACTGAAACTTCGTAAATTGGAGAAAAATAATTTTTTAACTCCCTAAAACCTAACCTCCCTATTTTAAAAGACACAAATAGGATATTTATAACCTTTCAAAAGTAATAGAATAGTTTGTGAACAGAAAAAAAAATTTCGCGTAAATTAACCTTCAACTGCTGTGAATGGTTTCGGAGACCGCTGAGGATTTTCTAACCGTCTTCTCCACCCCTAAAAACGGAGAATGGTCCCTGTCCTTCCTCCTACCTTCTCAAACCCATCCCACAAGGTCACATATCAAGTTTTACACTTCTAGCTTTATTATGGTTTCAGTTACTACGTTTTTTACTTTTTAAGTTGTCTGAGAGGCCCCTCACAGCAGATGTGTACGAGTTTTAGTGGACTATAGACGTTATTTATCGAATGCTTGTTTTTCGTAAAAGAGATAAATATGCCTTCAAATTTTACAAGAAAAAGTCCCGTATATCTCACGCAAAAAGAAATTGAATATCTTGTCAACAATATTTTTTATGTAAAATACTCTGATTCTGAAGAATCATGTAGTCTTCACAGTGAAAGCAAAAGTGAATCTGAGCTTTCTGCAGATGAATGTCATAATTTTTCTAATGACTGTGAACAAAGTGATAATTTTTATGGAAAAAGCACTTCAAATGGTGCAAAAAATGACCAAATCGGGCAGCACGAACATCAAAGCATAACACAATAATTCACCTCCTTAGTCAGAAACATCTTGCAAAAATAGGCTCTAGAGCAGAGCCCGAAAATACTTGGAATTAAAGTTCATATATAATGTTCTAGTCATATCCTGACGCTACAAAAGTGAAAACAAAAAATTTAATGCTTTTATTAGCTAATTATTAATCCGCATCTGAGAGTTGGGATAATTCCCTCTTTTTTGCCAAGGGAACTGAATACACATTAGAAGAATAAATAAAAAATTTAATGGATTTAAATTTAATGCGTAAAATTAAATGAAATTTAATGAAATAAAATTTTATGAAAAAATTTAATGAAATCTGCATAAAATTTAATGAAAATTAAGAGAATGGATTTATCAAATTCCCCCCCCTTCCAAAAAATTATCTGTGCCCACCTTGTAAGAAGAGGAAAACCTAGCATACCAGATGCAAGGAAGCAGTGTGTCTTAAGTGCTCTCAAAAATGTGTTTTGACTGTGTATCAACTTATGAGTCATCCTTGTAAACAAGATATACTAATCTATTATTTATTAATAACTAAATTCATTCTTTCATAAGCTATGGTTTAATTGACAGTAATGCTTAATAAAGTCACATATTTTCATGCATGTTTAATAAAATCTTTGTTCTTTAACGCTCTGTTCCTTAAAACGAAGAAGAAAATAGTCATTTTTATATGTAGATTTAACTGCGTAAAATTTAATGATTTATATTTAAAATATATTGATTTAAATGAATTAGAATTCTATAAGTATGCATAAAGTGTCTATAACATTCCTTTAAAAGGCATAAAAGTATGTATTTTTACGCGTTTCTTTAAAGCGGTCTGTGAGATCACTCACAGTAATTATGCCAAGAAAATTGTCACAGTGTTTCAAAATTAATTTTAAAAGGCTTTTAGTCGATATTGAAAAATTCCAAATCAACTTGCTCAATCTAGTTTTTTTTTTTTTTTTAATTAGAAATTAAAGTATGACACAACGTATTTTTTTCCCCTTTCTAAAAAACACATAATGCAATAAACGTATGTGCTTTTTGAGAAACAAAAATCTACGAAGCTTGCTCTTAAGAAATTACACTAAAGTAAATTTAAAAAAAAATTCAAGCCTCTAACTTGATTAGCACAACAAAATTCTTGATTTGGGGCTCAAATTTTATTATAGAAATGTTCTAAAATAAATTTGTCAGTCTAATACAAGAGCTTAAATTTCATAATATAAATATTCTAACATTAACATAGTAAATTTGCCACTCTAAATAAAAGAGCTCAAATTTTAAAAGAACATCGTAATCAGGCTTTAAGTATTTTGATGCTTAATCCAAACTTAGAATATCATTCTATTAGTTGAATTATAATAAGATGAAACATTTTCATATAAAATGGCACAGTATTCATAAAAACTCATACTGTATTTCTTTTGTTTTTAAATAAACACTG